TTTTTTTACTGTTTTCTTATTGTGTGACATTTATCATTATGACTATTTTTGTAAATATATGGATTCACGGACCAACTAATATTCTCACGTATAGATTTGTAAAAATTTTTTGGTATGTTTTGCGCATCGTTAATTTTCATTCTTAGAATTTAAGATTATAATCTTTTAATTAATATATGTTCATTCTATTGTTTTTTCAGTTATATATTTAACTACGCACAAGAAATTTCTTATGTATTGATGTTTTTCCATAATTATGTACATTTCAACGTAAAGTGTTTCATCTGAAGAGGACCAGATTTGGTGGTCGAAACTAGTAATGTAATTAACATCTGTTTTTTAATCGTTACATTTATGTAAATTTTATAAGTTCATTTTAGAATATATGTATTAATTGTTTGTTAATTTACTTTTCGTTTGACTCTTACAATGCCATTTCCATGTTTATAATATAAAACTTAGTTATACTTAGAAGCAAGTCAAATTAATATCGTAAAATACTCACTCATTTTATGTGGTACGATGTATTTTAATATTGTTAATTTGTCAATTTCTTTTTAAACTTATATTATAAATTATGTTTCAATCAGAATATGTCACTTTATTTTACAATATGTCTGATTTATTTATTATCAACAAAACTGTATAATGTACTAAACTATTATTATAATCTTAATGTCTCTAGTCAGTGGTTTGTCGCAGACTGCTTCGATCGCGATCCTCGCATGCTCAGCCTGCTCTACGCCTGCGCAATAAATACTAACGCGAGCAATCACGATCCCATCGCATACCCGTCAATGTACAAGTCATGTCTCAAATACTTGCTCTAAGGCGATCGCCGACATGCCGCCCCCCTTGACAAGCTTGCTTTCAACTTAATTAATAATAAAAAAATACAGGTACCCCAATACCAACGGCCACTAGGACGCCGCAACCTCTCACAACTCTAATGGCAAAATACATAATTTAGAAATGGGTGGCTTCAAAATCCCTCTCTCTGTCGTCACACTAGTTGTGCGCACCACTCCATCGGACCCCGGATGCACCTCTGTAACACGTCCCAAGATCCACTGCAGAGGAGGAACTCCTAGCTGCCGCACCAGAACCAACTGTCCCGTCGCCAGCGCTTCACCCTGAGGCCCATTCCATTTTGTCCTCTGCTGCAACTGATGCAAGTACTCGCTCTGCCACCTCTTCCAGAAATGCTGCCGCAGCTGCTCCACATTTTGCCATCGAGACAGACGCCTGGGACCTAAGTGCTCTAAACTGGGCTCAACCAAACTGTTAATCACGTCTCCAATTAAAAAATGACCAGGTGTCAAATAGGACAAATCATTTGATGGATCCTCGGATAAAGCAGTTATGGGACGGGAGTTAAGGACAGCCTCAATTTGAATCAGCAAAGTATACATCTCTTCATAACTCAGGGTGGTCCGACCTATCACTCGCTTCAAATGCGTTTTCGTCGATTTTATGGCAGCCTCCCACAATCCTCCGAAATTGGGTGCCTGCGGAGGAATAAAATGCCAAGTTATATTATCGCTCCTCAAGAAGTCTTCTAAACGCCTTTTATGCTGTTCTTCATTAAATAGGCGATGAAATTCCTGCAATTCGCTATGTGCTCCCACGAAGTTTGTCCCGTTGTCCGAATAAATGTGAGATACCTTACCTCTTCGAGCCATAAACCTCTTCAATACGAAAATAAACGCCTCGGACGACAATCCACTCGCCAACTCTATGTGTACTGCTTTAGTAGCGAAACACACAAATACAGCCATGTATGCCTTAATTGTCTTCGTATTTCGTCGCTGACCTTCGCGTATATACAACGGGCCGCCATAATCGACTCCGCACACGCTGAACGGTCTCGAAACCTGAACCCGCTGACTCGGTAGACTGCCCATCACCGCCCGCGACTCCACGGGCTTACTTTTAAAACAAGGGATACATTTCCTTATAATTCCACGAACTACACCCCTCGCCGCAATGATCCAGTATTTTTGTCTAATTGCTGCCATAGTTGCCTGTGTTCCAGCATGCAAATTTTTTTCGTGAGCTTGTCTATTAGTTGGATGCGTTAAAATGTGTTTGGCCGGTAATAATATTTGGTGCTTTGCCGCGTAGGGCATGTCAGTATTCGTCAATCTATCTCCGACCCGCAAAATGCCCCGTTGATCCAGAAAAGGAGACAATTTCAATATGCCACTTGATGAGTGCATCTGTTTATTGCTCGCCAGCGCTCGAATCTCTCTCTGGAAGTGAATGCTCTGTACCCATCCACACAATGCGTGCAACGCTTCATCCCGCTCCTGTATCGTTAAGGAACCTATCGTCCGTTTCTCTTTATCCTTGCAATTTTTATAAAATCTTCTACACAACGCAGTAATATCAATCAATTTATCTAAATCTGAATACCGCTTAAAAACGCGGTCCTCATCGTCAATCATTGTGCTAATTGCCACATTACTTACAACCTTTCGTTGTTCAGATAATAATTGCGCACCCGGCTCCTCAGTCGCATCAGGCCATTCTGTATCATCCGCTTGTAGCCACCGTGGCCCATTCCACCACAATGACGACTGCGCGAGCTGTGCCGGTGCACTTCCGCGCGATATCAAATCCGCAGGGTTGTCTCTAGTTCCAACGTGTCGCCATTCATTCGCGTCGCTCCGCTGCTGTATCTCACTAACTCGGTTCGCTAAAAATGTGTTCCATCTCCTTGAATCAGATCGTAGCCATGCTAGAACAATAGAAAAGTTGTAACGACCTAACTTTCGTATGCGCGGATGTAGCTCGTCGGTTTATTCGTATTCACGGATACGAAAGAGGTTCGAATGGAGGAGAATGCAGGTTGAGCAATACTCTCGGACAAGGTGTTCGTGTAATAAATCAGCTTTTATTAATAGTCTTCTAGTATTAGATATATATGTATTTACAATTGACAGATAAAAGAACGCTAAAAGACGCGCGGCAGATAGAACGGAAGAAAGAAAGAAAAGTAAGAAAGAGAAAAAGAAATGTCGAAAGAACTAAAGTAAGCATGCGGTGATAGCGGCCGGTGCAAAAACAGGCGTGCCGTGCGAGGCACGTCGTGCGGTGTGTCGGTGTGTATGTGTGTGCCGTGTATGTGTGCGTTGATGTGCGTTCGGCGGGCGGGATCCGTCGTGTCGCTCCCACTGGCGCGGAACGGTGTGTAGAAATCGGTGTGTGTGTGCGTGCGTGTATGTCGGTGTGCGTGTGTGCGCTATGCGTCGAGCCTTTTAAATTTCTCGCGTTGCTGTATCCCTGCATATAATGCTTATCGCGGCCTATCGGTTGTTCTCTTACGCGGGGTGTCAGTGCGTATTACCGCTGACCAACGGCCGGGAACACCCGGCGGAGGTGAAGAACTCTTCACCCCCTGTCGAGGGTTGATCAGTCAGTGCAATAGTTTTCGGCGGCCGGTCTATACGAGCGTCGAGAACTCTCGACAGAGGCAGAGTACTCTCTGCCCCCTTTTCTCGTTGTTCGGTGCCTGGCTGGTTCTTGGTCGCCGTCTGAGAACTCTCAGCGGAGTCGGAGAACTCTCCAACCCGTTTTCCTAGGCTCGCAAGATTTTCGGAGATTTGTCTGGATTCGGATCAGGAGCAGGAATGGTATCTTTTCGCTCTTGCTCTCGAGTTTTAATGCTTGCCAAAATGCCTGGTTCGCGCGGCTTCGCGTTTTCTCGGTCTTTCCCGCCGCTCGGTACTTGCGGTGTGCGCGATTCCGGGCGGTGGGAGTTCGCGAGAGCCGATCTGTGTTCGGCGGTGCTCGGCGCGTTGCGACCGTTACTGCCACCGTGTA